ACCACAAGCCTCCATTCACTGTCGGAGAGCTGCTCCACACCTGGCAAGCATCCTCAGTTTCCCATTTTCCAGAATATGTTGTTAGTTCGCCAGCATAATCTGTACCCTATCAAGAAAGCTTTGTGTTCAATACAATCACTTCAGATGTTCCCTATAAAGCCCCAGGATCCTCATATTATAACTAAACACACTTTTGGGAGAAAGAGACACAAATTTAAAATTTACTAAAGAACTGACCATCTAATGAGATAGCTGAAGTATCAGTGGAGTAGAACAACACTTGTGTTCCACACTGACAAACCATGTATGCAAAAAAAAAAAAAAAAAAAAAAAAAAATCTTTTCCCTCTACCAAATATCAATTTTCCTATGCTTAAAAAAGGAAGTGATTAGGGCCAAGGAGATGGCACAGTGGAATAAGTGCTTCCCTGGCAAGTGCAAGGGCCTGAGTTCAATACCCAGTTCCACCCCCCCCCCAAAAAGGAATTGATTAGATCAATAGCTTCTAGACCTTTCAAACCACAGAAAACTTACTTTTTTTGGTGTTTTGAGTCAGGGTCTTGCTATATAGCTCAGGCTGGCCTCAAACTCACAAGAATCCTCTTGCCTCAGCTTCCCAAGTGCTAGGACCACAGGCATACATTATCATGCTCAACTATGTTCTTTAAATAAAATCTGGAGCTGATGATAAACCCAATATAATAGAAAGAGGTTTGGGGCCAGAAGCCCCCTTCTGGTCCTATTTTTGACTCCTTCCTCCCCACCAGGCACCTTTAAAGGCGCCACAGTCCCCATGAATCTTAACAACCTGGCATGTACCTATTGCTATAAAACCTCTAACAACCAAGCTGGTATAGTAGAGCATACCTGTAAGATCAACAATCAGGAGCCTGACACACGAAGATTAAAGTGAGTTTGAGACCAGCCTGAATTACACAGTGAGACCCTGTCTCAAAAACAAACCACCAAAACTCCAAATAAATCTAGAGAGCTGGCCAAATAGCTCAGCAGATTAAAGCACCTGCTGAGGCAGACACAGTGACCAGGGTTCGATCCCGGCTTACAGTGCCAGCCCTGCCCCAGGGCATGCTGAGACATTGACACTGGGCATGGTGGCCCACGCCTGTAATCCCTGCTCTATGGGAGGCTGAAAACAGGCAGATCACTACAAGTCTGATCTACGTAGTGAAACTCTGTACACCCTGACACCCTGTAGACCCTTACTAAAAATACAAAACAAAACAAAACAAAACAACAACAAAAAAAAACCACACAAATCTCAACATACACCTTGCAAAATACAACTCAAAGGTCTGGCTGCTTACATCAAATCTAGAGCAACTCTACTTCCTCTGTAATGTTGAAGAAGCACTGACTGACCAAAGGCCTATCTCCCT